TATCTCCATTGAAAAGAGTACACAAGGAGGCTAAAATGCTGTTCTTTCACAAATGAACTTGAATAGCTTGCTAGATTTGATATAATAAAATAATGGTAGAATTGCTAATGAGACAACTATCCAACAATATGTATATATATTGTTCACTTGATGTTTTTGTTCTAATAAACAGGAGATGTGGCACATATGTCAATGAGACAGAAACCCAACGACACCTAAAAAACATCTAGAGTTCAACACACGTCCTTGAAAAATAGACAACGGTCTGTACACTGTGTGAAGCTCCAAATCAAAAAAAGAATATCAAGAGTACACACGCTGAAATGTCTTGTCTGTTTTACTTATCATTGAATTCATGTTGAAAGTCTGTAATATGAAGGTTTTACTACAAGTATCACATACACCAAATATTATCAAAGTTCTTTGAAAATGAGGTCACAGTCAGACGAACCATGCCAGACAGACATGTATACCTTACAATCATTCTATACACCAAATACAGTGGTCCTATCACTTATAGTCTCTGAGAAACAGATAAAATCATGAAAATTGGGTCAATGTCATATGAACCCTGCCAGACAGGCATATACACCAGTTTACATAGTCCATACACCAAATATAGTTGACCTTTTGCTTATAGTATATAGTATCTGATAAACTGACAAAATTATCAAAACTTATCATTGACCAATTAACAATGAAAATGAGGTCAAGGACAAATGATCCCTGCCAGACAGACATGTACTCTTTACAATCATTCCATACACCAAATATAATTGACAAATTGCTTATAATATCTGAGAAAAAGACCAAACCACAAAAACTAAAGTATCCAATGAACCATTAAAAAGAGGTCAAGGTCAGATGAAACATGCCAGATGGACATGTACACCTTACAATCACTCCATACACCAAATAAAGTGGCCCTATGGCTTACAGTATCTGGGAAATAGACCAAACCACAAAATCTAACATTGTTCAATGAACCATGAAATTGAGGTCAAGGTCAAATGAAACCTGCCAGTAGGACATGTACACCTTACAATCATTCCATACATCAAATACAGTTGATTTAATGCTTATAGTATCTGAGATGTGGACTTGACAACATAAATTTAACCTTGACACTGACCCATGAAATAAGGTTAAGGACAGGTGAACCCTTACTGACTGACATGTAGACATCGCAAGGAACCAATATATATAGTTATCCTATTACTCATAATAAGTGAGAATATCACTTGACAGAAAAACTGTTATTTTTTTTCAAGCAGTCACTGAACCATGAAAATGAGGTCAAGGACAATGGACATATGACAGACCTAAACTTCGTTACATCAGGTATCTTTATACAAGGTATGAAGCATCCAGGTCTTCTACCTTCTGAAATATAAATCTTTATACAACTAGTTTACCCCGTCGCCACCACCAGATTGTAATCCTTTTGTCTCGCTTTCTGAGGAGAACAATTAAGAGATAAACCAAAGACAACCACAGGTATATGAATATTTGGGGGGTAAAACATGTTCTTGAAACACTCAACCCCCTTGTAACTAGCAAAATATTAATAGGCACATTGAAGATCATACAATAAAAAAATCTGTCAAGTAAAGGTTGTATTCCAATACAATATGTACTTCTTTTTTTTTCTTTATAAAAGTTGATTTATTTTATATGTAATGCTAGTTAATATGTCTACAGGTCCACATAAAACTTGTGACCTGTATTTTTTTTTTTTATTTTTTATATGAAATTCTGAATCCTATTGGTGCATGATACTGCATGCTACCATTTCCGGTTGTACTTATTTTTTACTAAACAATACTTGTAGGTTAAAATGAAAGAAAATTGTTATCAAGGGTGTGATTGAAATATCAATGAATTGTAGAGATATTAGATTGAAGTATAAAATGCATGGGTGTATTTACACAATTATCTACAGTATTTACAACCCACACTTATGTAAATTTAATATATCACAGATTACAATTCAAATCTGTTGACTTATCATAAAAAGTAAACAATATCCTTCATAGAAATATTATTTGAATTGTCCAGTTTTAAATCAAATGTGGCCATTAAATCATTACTGCTAAAAAAAAAATTATCAAACTAAATGACCAAGCCTGAGTTTCAAAAAAAAATCTTACTTGGGAAAAAATTTATCATTAGTCATGAACAACCCAGTATACTTAGCATCAATTTTAGTTGTAAGATTTTTTGTAAAATGTAGGCCAGAGAAGGAATGTATTCATTGTATTTGCCTATTTTCAGAACAGGCATTCACAACTGGCCAAAAATGGTTAAAGAATGCTGCAAAAGTTAAAGAGCCCAAGGATCTAAAAATTAAACATTTCATGAATTTATGAATAAAGGAATATTATCTTTAATATTACTGGAAAATTGCTATGGCCTCAACACAATTATACATAACTTGTATGTGAATTTCATTTCATTTTATGCTTGATTTCAGGTACCTAATACTACATGGTTACAAGATAACTTTCTATCATCATGATCATGTTTATGTTACAATGTAAGCTGCAATAGCTGTGGTATTTACATTGTAATAAGGATTACATATATAAAAGAACACATGAATCTACATAAAATTGACTAGACATGTTATATGGAGGTATCTACAGATATGTAAAAGATACTTATACATATAGTGTCACACCTGAGTTGAGATGATGTCATTAATAACAATTTCACAGGTAAATAAAGCAAAACTGTTTCCTTTGGCCAACACGCCAAATTTAATGTAAAAGTAATGTTCTTGAATATTTATTATTGGAATTACAATTTTAATTTTAGTTTTTCCCACTGGAGCAACCCAGTAGAATACCCACACCAAACTTTTTTTATTTTTTCTAAATGTGAAAAGAATGTTTATTCTTTAAAATTACTTGTTGACATTGATGAAAATTTAAACTATATGATTATCACATCAAAATATCACTTTTGTATAAAATTAAAGAATATTTGCCTATACACATAATGCAACTGTTTTATAATTCATATATTCTACCATTCAAAGACTATTGTAGTTCAGTTTGGGTAAATGTATTACAAAAAGATGCCGATAGAATTACGAAACTAAAAGAAAATTTTACACTTAATCCATTGGATGTGTACATAAGATGCATCCAAGTAGTGAAGGATTTATACATGTATATCATACATATTTAAATGATAAACTTGAATGATAGTTGCAATACCAAGTGCATGAAAGTATGCACCTTGTGTACACATCCAGTGGATTAAGTGGGGTAACCCCTGCATGAAAGGGTAAAAAGGGTTCAAAGGGGCACAACTCATTACAATGCCACATCTACTTCCTTTAACCCTAAACTAAGTCAAAGGGCAAATTAACAACTTCATGTAACAAGGTGAACTTGAAAATGTAAACAATTAATGCTAACAGGGACTAAAATCAACGTGACACAAAATTATAAAAGACTTATAGCATAGTTATAGGTACCAAAGTATGCTTTGTGGTCACAGGAGGGGGGAGGTAGGACCTTTATCGGGACTCCCGGATCGGGTGTTTTTAAGCTCGGGATTTCGGGATTGATCCTTTCAGGATCCAGGAATTCTTTTTTCGAATTTCGGGATGTCGGGATTTAAATTTTTTTAAATTCGGGACCTCGGGATTCCATGTTTTTAAGCCCGGGATTTCGGGATTAGGAACCCTCCTACCCCCCTCACAGGACAATCATCCCTTTATTCAAAGTGTTACATGTATGTTGATCACTATCTCAATATTATCTCTACCCCACTAATTTTTTTTCTCCAGAAAACCATCCAAATATTTTTGCATAAAATTTTATTTAGCAACAACACACTCAAGTAGAGAAGCTGTGGGTTCCATCCCAAAAAAGTCATATCAAAGACTAAAGTTGATATTTGCTACTTGTTTGCAGATATTTAAGAATAAGGAAAAAGACTGATCAGCTCAGCAGGGTCAGAAGTATGTCAGGGTAGAGGACAGTTTTTTTCTAAAGTAATGTTAACTTTTGAACTAGCATATAAAAAATCTGACTCATCATGTTGGTCTAAAGTCAAGATTGGTAAATTCTTCTGTCTGCTGTGTCATGTAAATCTGTGCATTTCACCAGAGACATATATATTGTACAGTATATAAATGTCTCTGATTTCACAGACATAACTTTAAATTAATATAATAATAAGGACATGTGGTATGATTGCCAACTGAGAAAACTAACGGCCTAATTTATAACTAAAAAATTTACGAAAAAAAAATATGACAGGCATGAACCAACAAACAACCTCTGAACTACAGGCTCCTGACTTGGACAAAATAATTTCTGTCTAATATTGTGGAAACAGGTAAAATCCTCTACATGTATTTGAGATTTTTTGCTAACATATAATACAAAATATTGGCAACTCCATTTGAAGGAAGCTTACAGGAATCAAAGATCCATATGAGGAAATCTGCATAAGCATAGAATTTAGTGCAACATGATCTAAAGACTTTTTTATCATTTCTTTAACATAGCTTATATTTAATCCTTTTCGCTGATTAACAATATAAATTTTAATTAAAAGGCAATTTTTAATGACATCTATATAAATAATGTTAGATCCAAGTACATGTATCCTCGTATTATGGGTTTTCGTGCTATTAAGAATGCATTGTAACGTCACAATTTCCATTGAAAAAGCATGCATAGTACAAATTCATATGACGTACTAAATCATATGATCAGCATGATCTGGCCATATTTTATTTTATTTTTTCATTTATCTATTATGTTTGAAAATTCTGGGCACCATGATTAGCAAAATAAATATTTGTTGTTATGGATCCCCCAGATTCCCCAGCAATTCTGCAGTTTATGATGAAACAAGTACACCTATAACATGTACATAATGTCACAACAAAGATGTACATAAAGAATGACAAGTAGGAAACTAAACAGGAAAACATGAACTATTGTAGCTTGTTACTTAATAATACTGTTTTCATTTACCTCTCCCCAGTTAGGATTTAATGATGACTTTTGAACTTCAGTTTTTTTCTTTTCACCTGGAATATAAGAGTAAAAGTATGCATTTTATCAGGTGCACTTTCCATGTACTTTAACAATGCACCATGCAAATTAACGCAACCGTTTAATATGACATTTCATTTTTTTTACACTACCGGCATTTTACGAATGTGTATGTACTGTAGGTAAACAGGTGTATTCATTTTGGTTGGATGCACTCGGGAAATTTAACAAGTTTGCAACTTACTCACCTTTAAATTCGATGGAGGTATACGGGTCGCTTTCTCCAAACTTTTCAACGTTCGGTACATTAGTAGCACCTACTACAATTACTTGAAGCATGGACATTTTGTATATCCTAAGAATTCACTACTTCATCTTACATCGAACGTCCACACCCTCGGTTGTAACGGTCTACACGAACCAATTTCCTGATTGTTTATTGATGAGTGTCATCCGAAATATTCCGAATGATTCACCCACACAACTTCAAATGCCGCGAAATTTAAAAAGCATTAGCACGAAGTGAACCTCTATGAACGCACCACTCAGTGAGCGTGGGCGTCACTGAAAGCACCATTTATTGATATTTAGACTGGTGATATTATTGACAGTATTTTTTACCCGCGAGACGAGTGACCTGGTTATTATTTTTTTCAAATCATAACGAATAAAAATAAATTTACTTTAGAGAAAGTATGGTCACCAACTACAATATACATATATAATAAACTATACATGTTCCTCTCGTAGGACTCTTTAATAAAAAAAATAAATAATATAAAGCGGGTAAAGAAGGAAAATCATATCGAGATAAAATACAAGTGTTTCAAAAAGCATAAGTGGACCATTGGTATATAAAAAAAGGTAAAATCACAAAAATACCGAGCTCCGAGGAAAATCAAAACGGAAAGTAAAATTTTCTATCATTCCTTCATTAAAAAATTACTATTTGAGTTTTCCCCCCTTAAATGGTATAAATTTCCTCAGATAGAATTTTCGCGGCATTAGAAGTATAAATTTCCTCAGATGGAATTTTCTTATGTTTGCCAGAATGTAGATTTTTCCATGCTTTTTTCAAACATATTAAAAAAGGATGGGTCAGACTCACCGTACTATTTTTCAAGCTACAAGTCATGTAAAATTGCCCAAATTTGCATAATATTGTTCATGAAAAAATACTTTTTTGTGAATAAAAAGAAATCTATGAGATAGAATTTTTAAACAAAATATGAGAAGATAGGTTTTAGAATATGCTTTAAGAAATTGAAAATAAAAAATAGTGTCACCGACCTTGTTTTCTTGGTACAAGTTAAAATTGAAAAATATTCTATCATTCCTTAACAAAAAAAAAATACTATTTGAGTTATCTCCCCTTAAATGGTTAAGTTGACAATTTGATTTAAACAAACACAAATATTTAGTATTTAATAAATCAGTCTGAAAAATACAATAAATACCTTATTTTTTCTTTATTCCAATAACAGTCTAACCCATTACTTGCCAATCTGTCTCACCAATTTGCAGATTTACGCTAAGAACTATCCTATTGTGAACTGCTATTTTACAATCCAAGATACAGTTAATCTACCTAAAGACATATGATTTTTATGCAGTTTTACTTCAAACTCCTTTCACAAGGATGTTGGAGTCTGGAAAAAGGGGCAAATGCTCCGATTTTCAAAATTGGGTTGGCTATGTTTAAGAACCCTCCTCCCCACATACAAACTTTCAGTTGGAAAGTTTGTTTTATTGAAAATGAAAGACGACACTGACTAACTTCTAGACTTTTAAGACTATAGGGCATTTTTTTGCTTGTCCCTTTCAATTTTGGCTTCCATCTGAAACCGTACTGAAACACTTAATATAAATAAATCGTCAGGTTTAGATGGAAAAGGTCCTGAGTTATTTAAGCTTAGCGGAGGAATAATATCTCCTTCATTGACTGTTCTGATAAAGAAAAGCATAACATCTGATCGTTTTCCTGAAAATTTCATACGTGCTAGAGTAGCAGATTTACACAATGGAAGACCAAAAGATGTTCCCTCTAATTTCTGTCCAATCTTAGTTTTGAGAACCATATTATTATACCTTATCTAAGATTTTTTAAAGACATTTTATACACAATTATACGAGTTCTTGAATAATAAAAATCCTATATAAAGCTTAATCAGGTTTCAGACGAGATTATTCATGTCAAACCGATCTGACCAAACTAAATGACGAATGGATTTAGAATACTGGTAATGCAGAAAAAGTCGGTACCATGTTTTTGGATTAAGTAAGGCTTTCGATTATATTAACCATAAGATGCATAAACTCAGATTTTATCATATCGCAGAACACATGAAAAATTGGATGAAATATTATTCATCTGACATACAACAAAAAGTTAAAAACATATAAATATCAAATCTGAAAAGGTTTATATAATATAGAATGTCTCATGGTCCCTTTTTAGTCCTCTTTTATTTTTAATTTATATCAATGATTTACCTTTTATCATTAAACAATCCAACATCGATATTATGCTGATGATTCCAGATTGCATGTTCATGACAAGAACATCGACAATATCAAAGCATATTGCAAAATGGAGTCAGTATTGTACATGTAGAACCCTGGTGTGAAAATAACAGAATGAAAATTAATGAACAGAAAACAAAGTGCATGAAACTTATTTCGTACAGAAAATCCCACAGCTATCAGAATTGTTTAGTACCATTGATGCAACCTGTATTGATAAATTTCATTTTTTTAAATTACTTGTGGTTGACATTTATCAAAATTGAAGCTAGAAAAAAAACAAGTTGATCGTATATGTTAGATTATGTTATAAAAATATCACTTTGTATAGAATTAAAGAATAGTTGCCAATGCACAAAGAGCAATTGTTTTATAATTCAAATATTTTCCCATTCATAGACAATTCAAGTTCACAATTCTAGTTCAATTCGTCTAAATATAATATTATAAAACGATTCCTATAAAATAACAGAACTAAATAAAACTAAGAGCCGCAGCAACGATTATTCTTGAATATAAAGATAATGAGATGTGGTATGATTGCCAATGAGACAACTATCCACCAAAGTTCATATGAATTGGATGTCATCTTCTTTTTTTTAATTTCTGCAATCAAGGTATGGAAGGATTTACCATTTACCTGAATATACAAAAAATACCATAACACAGAATCATTGCAGCCTGAAACATTGTTAAAAACCATTCGATGAGAAATATTATGCCGTAGACGTTATACAAACTGACGATTTACCAATTTTAGTTAGAATATGAAATATTAGTCTATTGTAATTATTTTAATGTATGAACATCTTTGAAATTTAGCACCTATTCTTGCCATCATTTGGTCTGACATTTCCACCTAATAAAGGTGCCCAATAAAATAGTATTTTACAACTGCCCAACTTGATGAGATTTTCTGTCATATGCATTTGCTCTGCAAATTAATGATTTTTGTAAGATAATTCAACAGTTTTTCCATTCATTATATTTTATGATAAGACTTGAGTTCGAAATTGTGTAACAATGCTTTTGTTGATTTTATATGTGTTGCTGTAGACTGTGTACTGACCGTATGTATGTATTTGTTTGGGGATCTCAATGAAACTTTAGATCGCTGAAGGTCTTATTGGTCTAATATATCGTTAAATAAAGAATTTTTCTTTATGACTATAATTATTATTAATATTCTCTTTCCCCTATATGATGTCCATCGATGGATCAAGCATACACGGGGTATATTACTTGAAGAAAACACGTGAAATCATCGGTTAAACAATTAAAATGGTTTTTTTTCTCGCATATTTAACAATTAATTCCCAAAAACTTATACATTTCACGTATATATGATCCGTTCATCCTATTTCGACTCTTTTAAAATTAAAGAGTCTATCCTAAATTGAGGTAAATTGTGTGGCCTTCCAAATACCGTTTCGACCCCTAACATCACTGAAGGGACATTAATTGTCGAAATCCGGATATGGTGTACAAATTTTTGCACCTCATGTTTGCGGTATACCATCTTCTCCGCAAGTTTATTGTTTTCTGTTTGGTATTAAATTAATAATTAAGATCCATGTTACATCTCGTGATCAATTTATTTGGCAATCGTCAATGGCAGTCAGCAGGGTTTAAGAACATCAGTTGTTCGACCTGTTAGTCAAATGCGATTTGTTAAAATATACTTTGCACTTTTTTGGTCTTTGGAAAATGTTGTTTGTGCTGTAATTAGACCCCTAATCCAAAAAAATTGTTTTACATGCAAACGTATAAAAATTGCGTTTTTTATCCAACGCAATCATAGGTTTGAACGTTGTTTTCAATTTAGACTTGTTTATACCTTTTCGTTTGGGCTTGTATTATATTTTCCTTCGGGTTTATATGATCCGTTCATCTTATTTCGACTCTTTCAAATTCAAGAGTCTATCCTACATTGAGGTAAATTATATGACCTTCCAAATACGGTTTCGATCCCTAACATCACTGAAGAGACATTAATTATCGAAATCCGGATATGGTGTACAAATTTTTGCACCTCATGTTTGTGGTATACCATCTTCTCCGCAAGTTTATTGTTTTCTGTTTGGTATTAAATTAATAATTAAGATCCATGTTACATCTCGTGATCAATTTATTTGGCAATCGTCAATGGCAGTCAGCAGGGTTTAAGAACATCAGTTGTTCGACCTGTTAGTCAAATGCGATTTGTTAAAATATTCTTTTAACTTGTTTGGTCTTTTGGAAAATGTTGTTTGTGTTGTATTTAGACCCCTCTACCAAGAAATTTGTTTTACATGCACACGTATAAAAATTGCGGTTTTTATACAACGCAATCATAGGTTTGAATGTTGTTTTCAATTTAGACTTGAATATATATAGAACAAAAAATTTGCGAAAGCAAATTTACAGATCTAACATTGTTCGGCTGATGTTAAGACGAGTTGTATATACAGAATGTACACAGCCATGGATCACCAGCACCATCACTGCTGGTGATCCGATGGATAACTCTGTTGTAGAGTTGTCACTGGTTCAGACGTACTTATAACTATAATTATTTATATATATGATCCGTTCATCCTATTTCGACTCTTTAAAATTAAAGAGTCTATCCTAAATTGAGGTAAATTGTGTGGCCTTCCAAATACCGTATCGATCCCTAACATCACTGAAGAGACATTAATTGTCGAAATCCGGATATGGTGTACAAATTTTTGCACCTCATGTTTGCGGTATACCATCTTCTCCGCAAGTTTATTGTTTTCTGTTTGGTATTTAATTAATAATTAAGATCCATGTTACATCTCGTGATCAATTTATTTGGTAATCGTCAATGACAGTCAGCAGGGTTTAAGAACATCAGGTGGTCGTGTGGTCTAGCGCGTCGGATCGTCTAAACATCAGCCCAACAATGTTAGATCTG